CAGATTTTTTTCCATAATGTTTTGTATTTGAAGTTCACACTTGTGCTGCTAAATTTTGACAATGCCATATAACAAGCAAGTCCAGAATCTCAATGGTTTAATGGCCATTAGTCCTCACTCGGGAGTCAGCTGTGGTTTGGCTGTAGCTCAGCTAGGGCTCTGTTGGGCTTGCCTGGGTGTCTCAGTTGGCTAGTGTCGCTGCAACAGATATACTATGAATGGCTATTTGTTTTCTCATTATTTAAGCGGAGAGACATTCAAATTTGGGAACTGGCTCTGAGAGAATGTTCTCTGTCAGCTCTAAAAGAAAATGTGTTCTTTTCCAGCATACCTCTGTTCTTTGGTGATACTCATATAACATCTATCTGCCGGTTTGTGATTGCTTGTCTTCTGTGTCTCCGCTGTCCCTGCCATCACTCAGAAGTCATTAGGTTTAGGACACACCCCAGTATTTGACCTGGCCTCCTTAACATTTTAATGAAAACCCAATTCCAAAACAAGGGTTGCATTTGCAAGTGAAGGGGTCAGGATGCTGATACTTAGTTTGGTGGTGCACCATTCATTCCATAACACAACTGAATCTAGGCTGGAGGCTGAGAAGATAGGAGCTTCTTCAATCTCTCCTTCCAGAACCTAAACCTAGGTAGCTACCTGAGAGTTGGTCAAGGCAAGAGGGAAAGAAACAAGACACGATTCTTCCCAAAGCCTCCACCTGCACTACTTCTTTACCCTAGTCTGGTGGTCAAAGCAGATCTTATTGTTAAGTCGAAACTCGCCAACAGGACAGAACACTCAATGCCATCCACATGGAAACACAGCAAGTCAAACAGAGAACAAAAAATATCAGAATGATGGTGCCCAGCTATCAAAAAGTATAGTGTCTTGGGTCTTAGGCTTGAAGATAAACAAGTGCCCATCAAGCTCAGAAGCAACAAAGCCCAAATGGAAGAAGCACACCAGCCTATGTGATCACAAGGTGTCGAAGGGATCAGTTATCACACATCAATAGAACAAAAAAGCTTACCATAGTAAATGAGGGGGGGAGTG